AATTTTAATAATAATTCTGACCAGTCTTCAAAATGCACTATAATTCAGGAATTTTTAGACAATTGTGGAGGAAAGTTGCTGATCGTTAAATCTTTCGCGACTCGCAAGTTGCTGCGACACGTGCAGCCACTTCTATGGGATCATTGCGAATAATGAAAGTTTTCTCTATGAAAGAGACGAAAAAACGAAGTGTCTAGTTGTTTATCCGGAGGATGATAATAAAATGATAATAAAATATTCATTAAACAAATAAATGGCTCGATATTTTATCGTTTTAAATTTCTTATTGCTTTTTATTAATTTAATATATGATTTATTACATTATACAAATATTGTATATCCATTTTTAGTGTTTTCGAGATAATAAATAGATTTAAAGACAAAGGTATTTTATAAGTAAATAAACATTTTAAATTCTATATTTTTTATTCTATATAATGAAATTATAACTTGAATTTAATTAATTCAATTTATTAATATTAATTTAATTTAATTAAATATCTTAGATTAATTAGAATTTATAAAATTATATGCTACGTAAAAATTAATATATGATAATATTTGGAATTATTAATATAGACATATATTTAACCAAGTAAAGAAAGATACACTATTTTGAATGATATTATATGAGGAAGAATAAAATAAATAATAATTGAAAATATTTTCAATTAAAATAATACGAATAAATAAGTAGTAATTATTTAGTTTAAAAATGCTATAAATTGAATAAATGAAAGGTAGTGTAATGTAATATAAATTAAATAATAATAATAAACTTAAGCAATGTGTATGGACATCAACAGTTATGCAATTAAAATAATGGATTCGGAGACATACGATAAAAATATTTTTTTTAACTTTGATTTTTTATATATAACATAAAGATTTATTATTTTTATTGCATATAAAAATTCAAATTTCATTCAATAAATATGGATATACAATATTTACGTATTAAGTATTAAGATAAATTATATATTATCTATATTGTAACATTTTCAAAATCCATAAATTGTTCTTATGTAATATAATAATAATAATAATAATAATAATGATAATAATAATAATTTCTATTTATTTTATTTTATCTGCTTAAACGATTTTTCAATGATTTTTGTCGAGAGAAAAAAATCTTTATAAAACTATAGAATTTGATAAGCATTGTTTTATTAATTTATTGAAAATTGATACATACATACAGAAGTATGTATTTGAAATTGTACAACAATTTACCATCAACCGGATCATTAGATTTATTAGAAACATTTGTTATTAAAAATTCATAGAAGTAAGATGAAATGAAAGACGCGGCATTTTTGTCGGTAATAAAAGCGTAAAAGATGTTGGTCTGGTGGTTAGTTGCATTACCACCAGAGGAATCGCGTTGCATTCCAAACGTCTTTGAAAGCTGGTAGAGTTCAAGTTACGTGGAAGTTGTTCTGTCGCCGAGATTAAATCGCGTCACACCAGCCCACCTCCTCTTCCGACCTCCCTGCACCACTGCAGGATTGCGAACAATCGATAAAAGTGAAATCGTCGTCGCAGCTTCCAAAGGTGGAACGACCGATCGTCGATGGCGCCGTTTAAACCCTTGTCCGAATGAACGATTCTCTTCAATCTCCTTTTCCAATCCGTTCTTTAAAAACACACATCCAGTTTACAGGGGAAATTGAATAATATCGAGGCGAATGGAGGAAAGATTAAATTTTTGATACGTAGACTATATATTTAATAAATAAATTTCATTCGAAAAAATATTTCAAATTGAAATAAGAAATTAAGATATAGCTCAATCGATAAGTCAGTTTCTCTAAAAGGAATATGAATAAATAGAAAAAAAATATATACTTTTTTTATCATTGACTTAAGTAACAAAGATATTCGAGTATTATTTTTAAACATTTTTCAGTCAAATTTATAACCATTTATAACAAAAAATTAATTTAGTAAATAAATCTTCAAAAAATTTGCATTTGATTTTATCAAGAATATTATATATAATGTGTACTTCAAACTTGGATAAAAATTTATAATCTTCCATATTTAATATATTGTAATATTAGTCCTATAATTATTTAATGAAAATAACTTTAATATTTTTTTCAGAACAAAAATTAATTAGAGAAAGCATAATTTACTCATAGACTTATGTATGTATTTATTTCGAATATCAATTATTTCAATATTAATATTTGAAAATATAGATAATATCGATATTTAAAATAATTTTAAATAATATATTTTATTGTTTAAAAAGTTATAAAATATTTCAATATTTTAAATATATCTAAATGTACTTCATTTTTTCCATTATGTTTCAAACTTTATTTTTGCAAAATTATTTTAATTTTTTACATTTCAAATTAATACTCTTGAAACAAATTTTTTCTTAATAATAAATACAATATAAATTATAAAAACTCTATAATGTTTGTTAAATTTATTCTGAAAAAAAATTTTCCACAAAGTTATTTTTACTTTGGAAAAATATCATTATGACAATCTCTAAAAGGTTAAACGAAGTAAACTGTCCATCCGTCTCGTACTATTCGTACCGTATCAAATTACACAACACCAGCCCGAGAAAGTGATAATAAAAACAGTGGTAAAATGTCCTTTCTTTGGGTTGTTCAGAGGTAGAGAAGAGGCACAACGAGACCCGATAGAGAACCCTTCTTTTTTTGTCTATGTGGCGTTGTTGTTGTTGTGTTGCATGCAGGAGGCCGGCTAGTACCTGGAGGAATCGCCAGTCCCCCGGGATCTGGCGGCTCCACCGGAAACACCGGGAATTCGAACTCGGCGGCTGCGAGACGCGGCAATCGCAGACTCACGCGCAATGAGAGCCGCTATCATTCCGGTGAGTACATCACAGCTGGATGATTAAAATGGTTTCGGAAAAGAACGAAAAAAAAAAAAAAAAGAAAAAAGACGTTAACGGGTCTTTAACCCTCGGACGACGGCGGTTCTGTATGCATTAACCGTTTATTTATTCGAAGCCGCGAACACTCGATGCCGAGGATCGAGTGAAACTGTTAAAATTTATCACTTTGAATAACGGTAATTCTTCGATTATTATCTTTCACTTTTAAAGAAAATCATTGTGGAATGAGATATAATTCATACAATTTTACATAAAGGAAAAAAATTCTAGATAAATAGAAATACTCATTCTGTTTAAAAAAATTAAAATTATAATAAGCAGATTTGATTTGTTGTGAGGTATAAATTAAATTGTAATAAATTTTTAAGCGTATTGTAATTACAGTAAATATATTATAACTATAAAAGATGCGGAATTAAATTGAATTTATCTAATTGATTATCATTTCTTATTAATGTAACAATAATTTTCTTAATCTTCGTCTTTTTTAAATAAAATTATATTTGTAAGATTTCTCTAAATTAAAATAAGATTATACACAATATGATTTAGATTATATTTTATAGGGAAAAAGGAATATAAATTTTGTTATATTTGATCTTATTTTAATTAGAGCGACTTTAATTCAACGTTGATTCAAATAACATTAAAAAAAAAAAGTTTTATCATTGCATTAATATTGTTGTAATTAGATTACATGGTTTGTGTATAGAGCTCCTTCATATATCGAACAGAATTGTTCTTTCCAATAATAGAAATATTGCAGTTATAAAATATTTATGTAGTTACTTTTTTTTTTATACAATATTTTCATTGTTAAGAAAATGAAACAATTATATTAAAATCACAATTTGTTTTTTTTTCTGAATTTTTATAACAGAATTAATATTTTATTTAAATATTTTAAAATTAAATTTAAAAAAAACAGAAAATAAATAATTTAAAAATAATAAATACAGTAAACAACTTTTGTTTATAAAAGTAAACAGTTTCATTCAATTCTTGTTCTTGTTATTCTTGCAAATTGGCTTTACCTCGTTTATTGCTTCTTCGTTTCTTTCTTTCCTTCTTTGTATTAGTCTTCTAAATGTTTCTTTTTGTTCTTTTTTGTCGACGTTTTTTATATCCCTATAAAATGATTAAAATTCAAGAAGGCAATTGATTTTATTTTTTTTTTTTTTCTTGAGATAACGCCTTCTTCCTTTATGTCGTTTTGCACGAATATACGGGAGTTGTCTTTAAGTATTCCGCGCAGTGGAGCAACTCTGTCGCGAGTAATCACTTGAGGATATTCAAATTTTATGGAGGAATTAACAACGAGGCCGTCGTCGCAAGGGTTAATCCAGCAACCATAGAAACTAGAAGCGACAGATTCTCGATCAATAAAATCCTGCTCTGCCATTTTCACCAACCATCGTATACCGCAATGATACGAAACATTTTTCATTTACAATATTTATTCGTTATAAGCTCGTAATTAAGGATTGCCCTGAGCTTATATATATATATATATATGTAAAGAACTTGAAACTCGAGTTTGATCTTATCTTTATTTTCAACGACGATCGTAGAGAATGACAGTTAGCAAAAGATGAAAACATATTTAAAGAAAAAGAGTTCACACATTTGAAGAAGTTTACGATGTATTCGTGTGAATTTACGTGCTTCATAGGATCGTCACAAGAGTGAGTTTTTTCAGTGGTGGGGATGCGCAAGAAACGACTGAGCATATAACGAACAAATACTAACACTTTCGTATAAAAATTGACTTCTTTTATTTTTTATCAAGGCAAATTGTAAATCGTATTATTGATCGAGGATACGTCATGTATCAATTAGGTTTTATTAAATAGTAGTCGTAATTTAATGTATTTATAGAAACTTAATAGATTAGAATTCGCTATGACACGCTTGAAAATCGTAATTTGAATTTGAATTGATCGTATTGCATTAAGCTCGATTATAACTCGGTACAAAAACATGCTTTACGAGGAATGTGCTTTTGGTGCGAGTGGTCTCAACTCTGATAAAGCATTTCCTGCGTTTAAACGCGTATGCGTGCAATTACTTTTAAGCAAATCGTTCAACTTGTAATTATTAGATACGATGGAATTGGTCTATTCTTTAGAATCTTATAATTATGATTATAATCTGTAGATATAATTCTTCTTCTTTCTTTTTTTTTTTTTTTTTGTCAAATATTCTTTGAGCAATGTTGATGATTAATTAATTACTATCTAATAAGTTCGTGCGCACATAGATTTCATTAATGATTAACAAATATTTCAATTTAATATTTTACAATATGAACTTGAAATAATTATCTTTTTTGTTATATATGAAATGAAATATTTGATATAGATATTACTTTCATGAAATTGAAAATAATCAATTATTGACAATTAACTAAAGAACTATAACTATTAATATTCAATGTTTAATATATTTTACATTCATTACTTAAATTCAATGTATTATTTAAAAATGTAAAATTTATTTAATAAAAAATTAAACAAAATATTGTTTTTTGATATTAATATAAGTTTATATATATACATATCATTTCAAAATTTCATTTTTTATATTATATTATATTTAAATCATTTATTATTTTAACTTTAATTGTTTCTAAGAAAAACTGACGAACTTATTGGACAATATAAGGGAATATTCTTATAGATGAGCAGAAAAAAGAGATGTATTTTACAAATTTTTACAGAAAAGATATAAAGATTCATAATTTGAGATATTTATTTATTGTTGTAATATATTTATTTCAATCTAATCTTTTTTTTTTTTAGAAAATTTTGCAATTAATTGTCAAAAGACATTAGAATGTATAAAATTGATGGCAAAATTAATACTTTATCCATTTAATCTGAAATTTTTAAAATAAACAACAAAATTCTAAATTCTAAATTTCAAGAAAAAAATATTTCGGTTGATTTTAACATCCAGTTTTAGAAAATATATTACACAGAAATTATTAAAATTTCAATTTTTTCTTACTTTCTTATACTTTTCCTATAAACAAAATTCTTGAAGTACGTCTCTTTTATCTTACTCATCGATGAAAAAAAAAATCTGCTTAACGTAGCAAGTATGTATCTACACCAGGCATGGATCAAAAGGCATTAGAGTCGAAAGAGCTTTCTTGATCGCTCGCGGGTTGATACTGTTACATTGGTGGTGTTCGTCGGTACGGAACGAAAACCGAACGGTTCTCCGTGCGTAAAAGTCCGTATAGGAACTTCATTTGTACAGAGGCAGAGCGAAGCTTGACCGGCACACAGGCAATCTCACAGCTGGTGCACCGTTACTGCTCGATGAGGATGAGTGTGGAGCGCAGGCGATAAGCCCATCGGAGAATGTCTGAACGCGGTTATACGTAAATACGTTCGGGGAATCAAGTTTAGAGGAAAATTAATCAAAAAATATCTGTTTGATTCGGACGTATTTTATTTTGATATCTATGATATTTCTAAATATCATTTTTAATACAAAAATCTCGTGAAATCGAAAAATTTTTATATAATATTTGATTTATTGTCTTTTGTATTTAAATTTATTAAATTTTAATACCAGTAAATTAAGTAGATTAAAAATGAATTATTAAATCTAAAAATTAACATGTCTCGTATCTATGCACTTGTGTTTATACAAGAGATATGTCAAATCGGAAACGATACTCGAGAGAGAATGCCAAACGATATTTAAGATTGATCGAATGTAGAGCGAAGCGTAATAAAAGTTTAGTGGATTCGGTCAGCGAGTCGTTGCATTTCCGGTCTAAGTATATTTCTATCGTTATTACGACATCGTACAACATCGGGACGCAGTTTGTTACGTAGAGCAGTTACTCTGTTGCACGTGAGAGTGCACACGCGTGTACCGGTGGAAATAAGATAATTCGATACGGTGATTTCTTGAAAAATTGTAAATTTGATGAATTACTTAGAGGAAATTCTCTTATGTATAAATCTTCAAATTTTCCGGATTCTTTCCTCATGAAACAAGCTTCACTTTTATACGCTTTGAAATAAATGAAGTATCTATACCAAGGAAAAAATACTTGCCAAGAGAATTGAAACAGTAAACATTGCGTTGAAAGCTTTGCCGCATACGACGTAGATCAAGATTTTTTGAACGTAGCAAGATTTTTTCGCGTGTCTTTTCTCCATTAGCTAATAATGATTATAATATATTTACGAAAAACTGTGATCGATTTGATTATTCGACTCTGAAATACACAGAGGTGCGCCAGGAGGCGGTGCAACAAGCTTTGGCAGCAATGCAGGGTCGTCCGAAACCATCTTTACCGATGCCGTCAAAGAGAACCTCCGTGATGGCTAGAAGTCCCGACAGAGAGCGCCGCGATAGTGGAGAATCGAGTAGCGATGAAGATAGCGTTGTTACCGAAGAAAGTCCTGGTGCTGGTGGTCCAACGGGTATATGTCCTTCAATCTTTCGATTACTTTGCGACTATACATATTTGTTCGGCTAGCTAAATCGTTTATCTATTTGCATTCGGCAAATGATGGAACTGGTTATGCGACTTTTCGATTGAATGGAAAAGCTGTTTGGATTCGTGTACTTGATGCAAATCTGGTGTCGTGAATATCGCGATAACAGATTTGTTATATACGATGAATGTTGAATAACTGCAAAAGATTGGAAAACGAAACTTTGCAATCCAACAAAGATATTTATTCTTCTTTCTAAAATGCCTCGATCGAAAGAACGATTAAAGAGATAAAAAGGTGGATCGAAAGAAAACAGTATCGGTAAAACAGTACCAATACGTTACATATTCATTGTTCGGTTTTAAATTTTAAGTTGTGTAAAAAAATTTTGTAGTACATATGTATTTCTGCTTCTTCTAATAGATACATACTGTTATTGGACTGGCAATAACATATAATCTTACGGTACTTGGAAATTAAGATATAACTTGATATAACCTAACTTTGCTTCATTAAATGCACATTATTAAACAATTATAATTTAAAATATATTTTTACACATAATCTCAGAAATTTAGCCAAACAATAATTAATACATATGTATAAGCAAAAGTTATTCAAAATATTGTGCTTTACTATATATATATATTTCAAGATCATTGAAATCGACGAAAGTGATCAACGTATTTTCAGATTTCTTTGCTTAAAATTAAAATTACTTATTAAATATATAAATACATCGTGTTTGATCTCGTTTCGATCAGAGAAATCTCGATCAAAAAAAGAATACATTATTGAAAATTTTACTTTAAAAAAATTATAAAATGAAATAAATTTACAGTCTAGTATTGTCTCACCGATATTTGATCTCGGATCGGATTACATTGCTCGCATGTCGCGCTTCGCGATGTGTTGAGAAGACTCTTTCCCACTGATGAAGAATTTTTTACAATTACACCGTAGATCGCTTTTGCGGACATAAAATATCGATTTTTTAGCTTGTTTAGCATCGTCGGAGAAATAGACACTAAAGAGAGGTGACTAATGGGGGAATTTTAGGCACAGGACTGTCGGATACCAGCAGCACCGGTTCGGCGCGAGACACGCCTCCGCCTCCGAGACCACCGGCCAGGAGACCTCCTGGTGCGGACATTACCGACATCGCGGAATACACGCCCCATGCGTACTGTAACATCCAGCCCCCGGACGTGACACACACAAGCAACACAGCGGCCGCGCAACAGTCGGCCAGGCGACCGGGCGCCGACCGTGTCAATCGTTACCATGTTGTCGAGGATCAGAACAACACCGGGACTACCGGGCGTTGGAAGGTATCAGCGAAAATTCAACAATTGCTCAATACATTGAAACGACCGAAACGTCGCCCCTTGCCCGAATTCTACGAGGACGATGACATCGAGCTCGAGATCGCGGCCAATCCCAAAGATCCGAACGCCCCGAAACCCGAGGGCGGTTCTATGACCTCCGCGGTCGGTGAACCAGTATCGGTCGCTGCGGGCCTGCCGAGGTCACTCGAGGTCGCCATACAGAGGTAAGCAACCGGGCGAGTCGATTGCACTTTTCAACTTTCTTCCTTTTTTATTTTTAGGTAGAGCGGAACAAGCAATTTAATATATACGAAATTTTAGCGGCAATCTATTGAATTTTTATCCATCACTCCGTTCATATTATATAACATTTTATAACATTTGTAAATTTCATCGTCGATTTAAATAGAAAAAAATTGCAATGACTTATCTTTTCGCCCTCGTTATTCAATACTTTGAGTCGAGTGTAGACTATATGTATGTTTACAAAAGTAGTGAAGAGATAGAATGAGAGAAAGTCATTGAGCTGAGCACGATGACAATGCTCTTCCACCGCATATCAAGGATAAAATATTTTGTTGCAGAAATTCAAATTTCTATTCTAATTTTTATCTTATATGTTTTAATCTGACATAAATAGGATAGAATTAAATTATTTTTTAAATAAAGGGAAAATTACATATTTAAATTGAATAAATTTGTTATATATTCTTTGCTTGTTTTTAAAAAATTAAAATTATATAAGTGAAGGAAAAATATTGGAAAGAATTAGATAAACTTCATATTACATTATGAATCTGTTTGTTTTTTAATATATTCATATAAACAGAGTTGTGCTTTATAGTGTGTTTAAGAATTAAAAATATTATTTTTTATTTTATTAGAAATGCATTTTCCTGTAAATGGAAATTTCATGTTATAGAATTTAAAACACGCGTAATAATATCTGGAAAATGTTTCACGAAATGTTTACATTGCAGGTATGGTTCGGCATCATACAAAGCACCAGTGGCGACCGTTCTTGATCCAAATGGCAAGCTTTGCGTGACATTGACCTATGGAAAACTTCTAAGTCGTTCTCACAAAATAGCCTACACGTTGTTAAACAAGGCTCTAAGTCGTGGCGGTGATTGTTGTTTAAAGCCTGGCGATCGAATTGCCTTGGTTTATCCAAACAATGATCCAATAAGCTTCATGTGCGCCTTCTATGGTTGCCTTCAAGCTGGTATTGTACCTGTGCCCATCGAAGTCCCTTTAACTCGTCGAGACGCAGGCTCCCAGCAAATCGGTTTTCTCTTGGGCAGCTGTGGAATTCAGGTATAATCAAGATATAATTCTGTTAATAATTACATCTTAGTTATTTCATCTTAAACTTCATGAAAATACTTACAAACAATAATATACAGAATAAAAAATATTATTGAGTGATTCAATTCATCACCAATAATTATCGCGTTTTCTATTAATTTATTTTTTAAATGAAAATATCATTTCCAGGTGGCATTGACCAGCGAAGCTTGTCTGAAAGGTCTGCCAAAGACGGCTGCAGGCGAGGTAGTAGCATTCAAAGGCTGGCCAAAGCTTCATTGGTTTGTCACAGAGCATTTGGGCAAAACGCCGAAGGATTGGCTACCACCACCTCGGTTAACCGACGACACACCAGCGTATATCGAGTATACCACGGACAAAGATGGGTCGGTGATGGGAGTGACAGTGACAAGATCGGCGATGCTGGCACATTGTCGAGCTCTGACGCAAGCCTGTGGCTATACGGAAGGGGAGAATGCCGTGTGCGTTTTGGACTTCAAACGAGAGGTTGGTCTGTGGCATAGCACCCTCACCAGCGTTCTAAACGGAATGCATGTGATTTTTATCCCATACGCTCTGATGAAAGTAAATCCTGCGAGTTGGATGCAAATGATCACGAAGCATCGTGCTAGCGTAGCTGTGGTCAAGTCTCGAGACCTTCACTGGGGTCTCTTAGCCACTAAAGATCATAAGGATATCTCGTTGTCATCATTGAGGCTGTTGCTGGTTGCCGATGGTGCTAATCCCTGGTCCCTTTCCTCGTGTGACCAATTTCTCTCAGTTTTCCAGTCTAAAGGCTTGCGACCAGATGCTGTCTGTCCCTGTGCATCTTCCAGCGAAGCTCTAACAGTATCGGTGAGGAGACCAGGCCGAGCTGGAGTAAACGCTACTGGACGTGGTGTACTCTCTATGTCTGGATTGAGTTACGGTGTTGTTAGAGTTGATCAAGAGAATTCTCTCACCTCTTTGACTCTTCAAGATTGCGGCCAAGTCATGCCCGGAAGTAAGTTTTACCTAACTAAACATCCATTTGTAATAATACTTGATTAATTGTCGCACGATGAGAATACGTATCTTAAGTTTCTAAATGCATATGATTTAAAATTTTGAGTTTCAATTTTAGGAATTATTTGGCTTCCGCAATGAACAGAGTGAACAGAAAGTGTGACAATTAATCAGAAACTACTCTATACTAGATTTTTGATTATTTAATAGAAAGTTGCATTATTAAATTATTAAATATAAATAAACTTGGCATTTGTTATTGTCTGATTAATCTTTTCTTGAAGAAAAAATAGTTTGTTATATAATGATACATATACATCACTTTGTTAAAATTGTATTTGTAAATTATAAATATCTTAAATTGATCATAACTTACATCAAACCTATCTGATATTTGAAAATACTTGTAACTTGCATGAGATAAAATTTCTCGACACTCCCATAATGATTAAAAAAAAAAAAAAATTAAATCGACAATGCCTTTCTTCTCTAGGTATCGTGGTGGTAATCAAAATGGAAGGGCAGCCATTCATCTGCAAAACGGACGAAGTAGGCGAGATATGCGTGCATAGTTCAGCAACCGGAAACCAATATTGGGGATTACAAGGATTGACAAATAACACGTTCAAAGTTTCCCCTCTTCAAGCCGATGGAAGTCCTCTTGGCGACGTGGAATACACTCGTTCTGGTTTATTGGGTTTCCTGGGTCCTGGTGGTCTCGTGTTCGTTTGCGGATCGCGCGACGGTCTTATGACTGTAACCGGAAGGAAGCATAACGCCGACGATATTATCGCTACAGTGTTGGCCGTCGAACCCATGAAATTCATTTATCGCGGAAGAATAGCCGTGTTCAGTGTACGTGTCTTGAGAGACGAGCGAATATGCGTCGTTGCGGAACAACGACCCGATTGCAGCGAAGAGGAAGT